GCTTTTAACATTTTTTCTTAAAAAAACTTTTTTAAAAAAGACATGGAAGACACATCTCAGTGCAAAAACACGAGCACCTTCCAGCCCACCTTTTGTTGGTTCATGAGGACTTTTCTGGAGTCTTCCCTGAGCAGCAGGGCTCCAAGCTATAGTCATTTTGATGTGACATGGAAGGCAGTGCAGGCTGCTCCCTCTAAAAATAAGCAGAAAGAGTAAACAAAAACAACAAAAAACAACAACAAATAAATAAATAAAAGGAAGTAAGATGGTAAAAGAAGATTTACGCAGTATTGTAGTTGCAAATGCAGAATGTAGTTGTGACCCCAAAAGGCTGAGATTAAGACCACTTGAAAGAGTGTTACCGAACAGAGGACCTAGCCCTGAGTGGGTCTGTCTACAGGGCTGGTAGCGTGCGGGTTCCTGACTTTGTGCAGAAAAAAATTTTTTTTTAAAAAGATATTTTATTGATTTTTTACAGAGAGGAAGGAAGAGGGATAGAGAGTTAGAAACATCAATGAGAGGGGATTGTTTTAGCATGGGAACAAAGCAAACAGGGAGAGCCTAGGCTGGGCTGCCCTACCTCTCTGGGCGGTCTTGGGAACAGGTTCAGGGGATTAGCCTGGGACGAGCTGCCGCTGACCATTGTTCCCCTCATTGCAAGTCTCGTGGGGATTCTCAGAGTTTAGGAGATGGATGCCTGTGAGGGAAGAAGAGAGGGAAGAGGAAAAAGGGAATGGAGTGGGCTGCTCCCCAGAGGGAGAGCACTTGCTGGGTACTTTGTCTTGAGGCTTTTATCTCTTTCCAGCTGGTGGGGATCTTATGGGAGGTCTTAGGGGAGGGTTTCAGCAGAATATTCATCCATTTTCTAGGTGTGTTTCTTCTGGATCGTGGTCTCCACTGATTGGTCAGTGTCAGGGCAGGGGTTGTTAGTCCTTGCAGCTGGTCCTGGTGTCACATGCCAGGTTTTGCTGCTTTTCTGGGCCTGGAGCTGAAATACAACTGAGGCCCAGATGCTATCTCTAGGAAGGTGACATTCTGTATCTGCTGTAAGTTGCTCTGCCAGTTTGTTCCTATAGTTTGAAAAAAAATTAAAAACATATATACCTTCTGTATTCAGAAGGCAATACCCAGGAAAACTAAGTAATTCCCGAAAATAGTCCAAGTCAACACCTTCAATTCCATTTACAGCTAAAGACTAAAGAAGATGTTGGGGGAAGCAGGGAGCCAATTTTGGGAGGTAATTAGGTGTGGTTATTATGCAGATTTGAGCCTGAGCCTTTTTTATTGGTGAGTTTCTAGATATTGAATCACCCTGTTCTACTTGGTACCTAGAGATACCCTTGCAGATGGAGATTGTCTTATAAATGCAAATGTCCCTTGCAAAAGGGCAACTTCTACTCAGTTAGCAGAGCTCCCCCGTGCCTGCTGTTTTTTAAAAACAACCAGCGCAAGATAATGCCCAAGAGTTATATTTTGGGGGCAGCACATTCTGTCCCCCTTCAGCATGAAAATGATGGGAGGCATTCCAGAGCCTCTCCTGGGTTCCAAACATTGTTTCCCTGACATCACTGTCTACCAGTCACCCACGTGCCCCTTGGTAATAGGAAGCACTCACTCCAGCCCTTAGAGTGACCACTTTCTCTGCCTTTGGTTAAGTGTTTCTGGGGAGGGAGCATTCTCCCCTTGAGAATGAAGACCTCCAAACTAGCAGATCACAAAGATGTTGGGGCAGAAAGCAACAATTCCAGGAGTAGGTTATGAGGTGTATTGGCAAGAGAAGTCACTTCCACTTCTGCTGTTTGATTCCTAGACTTATAATGTGGGTCCAGGAATCAACCTGCCACCAGGTGGCTGGGTACCCTCCCCCTCCCCCCCCTCTCTCTCTCACACACACACACACACACACACACACACACACACACACCTCAGTGGTTAATACTACCATACTGGGGACTTAGTAGGGACTCAGCACTGATCTTTGCTGTTGACTAATTAGACACTTAAAGCTTGCCTCAGCCAGGCCTGCCTTGGAAAGGGGAAGACCATGTTGTTGAGCTCCATCCCTGACACCATAGACCTTTTGTTTTGCAGGAGGAAAATGTCATCTCCTCACCGTGCACACAACTCTGGAGAATGGCTGCGGAAAGCACCGCCGGGGCTTTGCATTCTTGGCATGGCCAGAAAGAATGCGCAGCGACACTCAGGGCCCAAGATTTCCTCTCCCAACAGCACTGTGTTACTGAGAAAAACACAGGCCCCTGCAATGAATTAAACCAAATCTAAAATACAGTTTTCTGTGGAAAAACACTAAAAATTTTCACTGACATTAAGAGGTACATTACTGATGCTCCCTCTTTGCCCAGATGATACTGTTGATGAGGTCTAGCATCAGTACATATACAGGGTGTCCCCCAAAATGTATACATTCTACAACAGCTGATAGCTCAATTTTGAAAATGAAATGTATTTTAATAAACACTGCATTTATAAGCATTCAAAATGTATGTATACATAGGTGAGAAATATATATATATATATTTTTATATATAAGGATATATTTTTATTGATTTTTACAGAGAGAGTTGAGTCAATGGCTAAACAAAGTTAACAGTCAAAATTATTTCCATCTTTTTAAAAACAACTCATCTATGCCCTGGCATTGCCCCACTGGCTGCACCCTCTGGATGACCGTGGCAGTTCTTGGCATCATTTCCACATGTGGCAATGTCCAGAGTCACACAGGAGACCTCTTCCCTCTTATCCCTGTGTAGGACAGAAGCGCAGACACCCTGTCTTCGGAGCTGGCACTGAAAGTCTGATAATTCTACTGGGCTTTTATTGATTTATTTTTTAGCTGACATTTTATTTTATTTTATTTTATTTTAATATATTTTATTGATTTTTTAGAGAGAGGAAGGGAGAGGGATAGAGAGTTAGAAATATCAATGAAAGAGAAACATCGATCAGCTGCCTCCTGCACACTCCCCACTGGGGATGTGCCCGCAACCAAGGTACATGCCCTTGACCGGAATCAAACCTGGGACTCTTGAGTCCACAGGCCGATGCTCTATCTACTGAGCCAAACTGGTTAGGGTTTATTTTATTTTTTAATACATTTGTATTGATTTCAGAGAGGAAGGGAGAGGGAGAGAGAGATAGAAACATCAATGATGAGAGAGAATCATTGATTGGCTGCCTCCTGCACGCCCCACACTGGGGATCAAGCCCACAACAAGATATGTGCCCTGACCAGAAATCAAAACCTGGCCTCCTGATTCATAGGCTGACGCTCAACCACTGAGCCACACTGGCAGGGCTAGCTAACATTTTAGAAACTGATAGCTGTAGTAAGTTTGATCAACCTCTAAAAGAGAGGTTGCATCCAGAATATTGGCCTTCTGGTTACTGTTTGAGATGCCTGTTGTTAAAGCTCTGTAGGAGGAGTGTACAAATACTTGCTCCTGCCCTGCTCAGATTTTTTAAGAATTGAGTTTGAAAATCAAATACAGTGCAGTTACATGATCATTGCAAAGAAGCAGCTCTCAAAGTTTTGGTTTAAGGACCTCTTTATGGTCTTATAAATTATTAGGGACCTCAAAGAGCCTTAATTTAGGTTCTCTCTATTCAGTAATCATATTATACATCTAAAAGGAGAAATTTATTTTAAAAAATGATAAGTCAATTCTGTGTTAATATAAGTATATTTTAAAGGAAAACATCTGTTTTTCAAAACAAGACTTTAATGAAACTAGTGTCACTTTTTTTTTTTACATTTTTGCAAGTCTTTTCAATATCTGGCTTAAGGAAAGATAGCTGAATTCTCATTCAGTCCGCCATGCAGTCACATAACCTGTAGCCTGGGAAACTCCACGCATCACTTGTGAGAGAATAAAAGTGGAAGAAGCAAACAAAATCTTAATGTTTTTATGATAATAATTTTGACCTTCTGGATTCTCTGAGTGTCTTGGAGCCCCAGGGGTCCTCAAACCACAGAATCACTGTCTTACAGTATTTTCACTTGATATTCCTGTGCATAATTTAGAATGGCTTCAAGTGGTAGCACACACAACACAGTAGATGATATACTAAAAGGGGGCTTATAAATCGAAATTGTTTTTGGTGGAAGTGGAGTTCTTAGAGTGCCACAAATAAAATAATGTCCTGAGGCTGCCACAAGAGGATGGGGTTTCATGTAAAGCTCTACTGATGATGTAAAGTTAAGGGGGTTCCCCTCCAAGGTCCTATCTCAGTCCCTCTCCCCATGGAGGAAGTCCAACTGTGTCTTTAGCAGGGCAGGAATAAAGGCCACTGCCCATAGTTTCTGCTCCATATTAAAGTCCAGTCCAGTGCAGCATCCTGTGGGTGGAGTCCGCATGGGCCTGGGTCATGTGGCTGCATAAGGCCACCGGGCTATGGAGGAAGAACAGGTGAGCAGATGGGCAAGTGCAGGTCACAGAGCAAGCAAGAACAAGAACCAAGGCAAGAGAGAGAGAACTCTCTGTCTGGAGATTTTAACTGTTTTTATGCACTTCTGATGGGGTCCAGCCAATTCACTGTTCCTCAGGCTAGGCTGACAAACATGCACCTTTGTTGGATCCCTTTCCCCAGCGATCTGCAGGGAGTGGACCGGGGTTTCCCTGGGGAGCGTGAAGCCGCAGCTTCCCGGTGAAGCTGCCCAGATGGCCATGTTTATAATGTCTAGCCTCCCCTTTGCTCTCTTCCTATTATAAATATTAATAAATTAGCTAATTATGATTATAACAGTATCTCAGAAAATGGAAATGAGTATCAGTGGAGCAAAATGCTATAGAAAATTGGGTAATCCAGCAGAGTCTTGGTGAAAACCTCAAATTATCAACAGATGGTTCAGAGGTTTCCTCACTTTATTAACCCTTTTGAATCTTTAAAACATAATATGATTTACACAAAAATATACTCACTAATATATATTTTTTAAAAAATCTACTACATAAAACACATTTAATATTCTTTTTTTTCAGACTTAACATATCAGATGATTTGAAAGTTGGCTTTTTCAGCACAGACCATGCTACTCAAACGGATTCCAGTGAAATTTTGCCATTAAATGAGCTATGCTCATCTACACAAAAACTAGTGAAGGTAATCTGGATTAATTTGAAACTTCTGGGATGATTTTTAACAGAATTCATTGCCTTTAGGTCTCTTTCCTTGACAGAATTGAAATGATCAAAAATTTAAAAATATTAGCATCTTTTACAAACTGAGTTAGATGACAATTGTGCTTTTAAAAATTATCAATATGAACCACAACTTATATTTATGTCATATTCATGTTGTGCGCATATATATATATATATATATATATATATATATATATATAGTTTAATGAGATGTTTTGTTACTCTCTTTGGAATTCTTTTTACATCTGTGAACATTTGCTATGTATAATACTTTTTAAAAATTGTAGAAGGTAGAAAGCAATATAATGAATAACTGTGTTACCCAACATACAGTTTTGTCAAATAGTTCCTTTGGACCCATTTTTTGGGGGGGCCTTTTTTGATTGTAAGGAAATAAAGCATTTGCCCTAGCGGGTTTGGCTCAGTGGATAGAGCATCAGCCTGCAGACTGAAGGGTCCCGGGTTCCATTCCAGTCAAGGGCACATGCCTGGGAGGTTGTGGGCTCAGTCCCCAGTAGGGGGCCTGCAGGAGTCAGCCGATTAATGATTCTCTCTCATCATTGATGTTTCTATCTCTCTCTCCCTTCCTCTCTGAAATCAATAAAAATATATTTAAAAACAAACAAACAAAAAAGAAATAAAACATTTCATATATATCAGACATCAAGAGTTAATATTAAAATTGCTAGTCAATAAAATTGTCACATGGGGTAGCACACTACTATAAATACTCTTATGTATTTTGTTTCTGTTTTTTCACTTAACAATAGAACTTGAAAATCATTGTATATTTCACAAGTACATCATATTATAAAATGCATAATTTATTTAGCTATCCCCTTATTGATGGACATTTTTAAAAAATATATTTTTATTGATTTCAGAGAGATGAAGGAAGAGAGAGATGGGAACATAAATGATGAGAGAGAATCACTAATCGGCTGCCTCCCGGGCATGTGCCTTTGACTGGAATCAAACCGGGGACCCTTCAGTCTACAGGCTGATGCTCTACCCACTGAGCCAAACCAGCTAGGGCATGGACATTTTAAAAACAATGTTTTCATTGATTTCAGAGAGGAAGAGATAAGGGGAGATAGAAGTATCAATGATGAGAGAGAATCATTGATCGGCTACCTCCTGCACACCCCACACTGGGGATTGGGCCTGCAATCCCGTCATATGCCCTGACCGGGAATCAAACCATGACCTCCTGGTTCATAGGTCGATGCTCAACCACTAAGCCACGCTGGCCAGACATGCGGTGTAAATTCTTAAAAGTGGAATTTCTGAGTCAGAGGATGTATGCATTAGTCGTTGTAAGGATATTGCCAAACTGTCCTGCATAGAGACTGCACCTATTTGCACTCCCACTAGTAATTTCTGAGGCTGTCCCTTTCCTATATAATGCCAATTTGTTGTCTTTTTTAATGCCTTCAGGAAAGTTTATAACTGTATTCTTTTGCAACTAGGGGTGTCCAAACGACTAAGTTCTGATCAATAGAATTGAGATGGAAATGTTGTGTGGCAGCTTTTGGGCACCTTCTTAAAGACACAGTTCACATGCACTTTCTACCACTTTACTTCTTCCTCCTTCTGCCCACCCCCTTCCTTTTCATTCTCCAGCATCTTCGAGTTGTTGGTTGTGTTTTGGTCATATTGTATCTGAGTTTATAGTCTCTATGGGAGTCTGTGGTTCAGCAGCAGTTTGACTGACCACACCAGGATCCCTGCTCTTCTTTTCTTCAGAACAAGTAGTCTATAAGGGCTGTTTTTTTTTTTTAACTTATTTCTTAATTAATTTTATTATTCAGGAGAGCACACCTGGGCTGATTTTTAAGACAAAGTCATCTCGACTTGTTCCTGCAATTTAAGGAGTTTCTTAAGACTTCACTTGCTCTAGGATATATTTTTAATGATTCCTCAACATAGTACCCTTTATAACAGCCGTGGGGAATCTTTTTTCTGCCATGGACCATTTGGATATTTATAACATCATTTGCGGGTCATACAAAATTATCAACTTAAAAATTAGCTGCTGTATTTGGTCAAACATTTCATTAACTCACCTCTAATGCCTTGGCAGGGCCAGACCAAATGCTTTACAAGTTGACAGCATGATGTAAAGAGAAAGGAATACAAGTCAGTGCCTGTCCAAATCTGGGCCTCCCACTTACTGGCCACATAAAGTTAGACTAGTTAGTCACTTAACCTCTCGAAGCCTTGATATCCTCACCTGTAAAATGACACCTTGCACAGAGTATGAGGATCCTAAAATGAGATTCTTCCCAAGATGCTAGTACCAGGTGTCAAATTCCAAAGTGAGTGTGAGTTAGATCCCATTTGTAGAGTTTACAAAGGAAGTGTTGCACATAAGATCAGTGACTCTTAGCTCTTGAATCAGATCAAGGGTAATATAAAAGGGGATCAGGAAGTGAAGAGGAAAACTTGCTGAAGTGGTTTCTTAAGAAAACACTATTGCTATGATCTTTGTGGGGGAGAGGGTAACAGAGGTGATCTTCCTCAGCTGACAGCGAGTAAGGCAGGCTTCAATGGAACTTGAAGTGTTTGCTGCTATTGTGCTTGATCCGTGTGTAAGGAAGTTAAAGTGGGCTGTGACAAGAAGATGGCACGGCTAAGTTGCGATCAGTCTACACTTCAGAGTGGTTGAGGTGAGGGATGTGTGACTGTTTTCCATGGACCATATGTGGTCTATGAGACAGAGAGAGAGGTTAGCTAATGTGGGGTCATTCTGGGTCCTATCCAGAAGAGTGATCTAGAAGGACAGAGGACACCCAATAGCAGGGAGAGGGGAAAGGAGAACTCCAGATTCATAGGAGCTGAAGATGGAGTAGCAATGATCACCAGAGTAGAGAAGCATTTGCTTAGGTCAACCTGCACCCACAGGAGAGAGGGTCCTGGCCATGGGAATCGCTAGAGAAACTATGTCAGTGCCCAAGGGAAGGAAAGTTAGTTCCCACTACCTGCCAGTCCTGGGTGACCTGCCAGCCACTCCACCAGGGAGGAGTAGCCCTGCTTCTTTATTCCTTCTGCTTTATCCATGTTGGAGACACAGTAGCTGAGTGTGGGAGGAGAGGTGAGGGAGAGCTCAAGAGTGAATCACACTCTTTTCCTTGAAGACAGGCAGCTGCCAATGACTGTCTTTAGCTTGGAGTACAGGGAGAAGCCTTCTCTATGAGTGAAGTTGAAGTGGTCATGTTAACTCATAGTGGTCATATCCCAAAAGCTACTTTGAGGCTGTGATTTGGGTGATGGTAGGACTTTCTATTCCTAAGGATGAACAAACAGTCATGGAATTGCCTAAAGTTTTCATTCAGGGGCAGATGACCTAGGAATATATTTTAAATGGACGGTGGAAAACAAGAATACATTGTGTTTTGGTGATCACATATCATAATTAGCCCTAGCCGGTTTTGCCCAGTGGTAAGAGCATCATCCGCACCCCCCCCCCCCGCTCCCCCCCTTTCCTCAGTCACATACCTGTGTTACAGGTTCAATCCCTGGCCCCATCAGGGCAGGAGGCAACCAATCGATGTTTCTCTTTGTGTGTCTCTCCTCTTTCCTTCCACTCTCTCTAAAAAAGAAATCAATGAAAACAATATCCTCGGGTGAGGATTAACCATTAAAACCCCAAACACCACCAACAAAACCCAAATGGAAACTAATCAATATACTGGTTATATATTTAAGTGGTTGGCTAGTGGATTCATAACAAATGTGGATTTTGTCCATCTTTTCTGATCCAAAAATCACATCTTGAGAATTATACCTTTGGGTTATGACAGAGGATCATCGCACTTTATTCTGTATGAGAGTACATTACTAGTGTTACCTAGTGGGACAAGGAGGCCTTGGTTCTAGTCTTTTTATTTTTCTGTTAATCCTCACCCGAGGATATTTTTCCATTGATTTTTTAGAGAGAGTGAAAGAGAAAGACAGAGAGAGAGAGAGAAGCACGGATGTTAGGGAGACATATCGATTGGTTGCCTCCCACAAGCGCCCAGAACAGAACCAGAGCCAGGGATCGAGCCTGCAACTGAGGACCCTTCAGTCCGCAGCTCTATCCACTGAGCAAAACTGGCCAGGGGGGTGCTAGTCTTCTTGAAGGAAAGATTTCAATCAAGGGACAAAGTATAGAAAAGCAAGCATGAATTTACTGACCACAGCAAAAAATATACTTAAGACAGTGAAAGAAGGAAGGGCATAGAAGAAGCTATGGGAGAGCCTAGGCTGGGCTGCCTTGGCTCGCTGGGAAGTCCGAGAAAAGGGGGCCTTGGAGACAGGTCCAGGGGGCTAGCGTGGGATGAGCTGCTGCTGCCCATTGCTCCCCTGATTTCAAGTCTTGTTGGGTCCCTTGGAGTTTAGGAGATACATGCCTGTAGGAGAAGGAGAGGGGGAAGGAATGGCACAGGGTGTTCCCCCTGAGAGAGAGCACGCTGGGACCTTCATTTTCAGGGGTTTTAAAGGCTGGGCGTTTAGGGGAGGTCCTAGGGGTGGAGCAATAGAATATTCGTCAGCTTTATGCTGTTGTATCAATAGGAGATTTATTCTCTTAATTTGTTTGTCCTTGGGTGTGGTTGGCAGATGGCACTTAATTGGGTTTCTGTTATTGAGTTTCCCTGAGCAGGGTGATTTAACCCTCTGGTTGGGAAGAAGTATCCTTGGTTTAGGGAAGATAGGATTTACTAGGTGGCTGCAAACTGCTGTTATCTTAGTTTCCCTATTCCACTTGTCCCAGAATTTTCCTAGTCTCTTATTATCTTATAACACTAGGAACCTCTTCTCCCTTATTCCATTAGTAGATTAATTGGAATTCCCAATATAAAGAGTATTTGACAGATAATCTTAAAAGGCAGGACAATCCCCCGACCAGGTACCCAGGTTATATGCCCAGAACCAGGGCATATACAATAATACTCCCTACAATAATTCTGTTTTTCTATTTTTAGATTATTAGATCCCTTCAGGTAGATTTTGGGTTCCTGAAACAGTTGCTTCAGTTGAAGTTTGAGGACCGTATTAAACAGGAGTCTGTCAATCTCTTCGCTGTTCTACAGGACAGGATCCTAACAGTCGAAAGACATTATCAACAGGTAGAATTTCTCTAATTTCCTTAGTGTGTGTTTTTTGTTGTTGTTTGTTTGTTTCATTACCTTTGTTTTGTGTGTGGACTGATCTTGTGCTTAGACATGTATGTACTACAATTTTGAACTTAGCAATTTTTTTAAAAATATATTTTATTGATTTTTTACAGAGAGGAAGGGAAGGGAGAGAGATAGAGAGTTAGAAATATCGATGAGAGAGAAACATCGATCAGCTGCCTCCTGCACATCTCCCACTGGGGATGTGCCCGCAACCCAGGTACATACCCTTGACGGGAATCGAACCCGGGACCCTTGAGTCTGTAGGCCGACGCTCTATCCACTGAGCCAAACCGGTTTCGGCAAACTTAGCAATTTTCGAGGGCAACATAATTTGTATATGTTGCATCCCATATAACAGCTTCACAGAGCTACATATAGCTGCGTAATACATGTAGCTTTACCTTGTGTCAGGAACTTTTCTAAGTACTCTGTATACAAATTTATTTAATCCTCACATTAATCTTATGAAGTAAGCATTATTATTATCCCTCTTTTATAGGTGAGGAAACTGAGGCACAGAAATGTTAATTAACTTGCTCAGGATCACCAGTTTGGGTTCTAGGCCAGACAGCTTGATGATTTGAGATTTGATTCTTAGCCAAAATTTTATATGATCTTGTTTGTGCTTTAATGGCTCATTGGAGATAAGGCATGAAAACTCGACTGCTTTGAGGAATTTCTTAAAATCTATGGTCAGATTAGCACACTTATCTGTCATTATGAATAGACATCCCTCTTATTTATCTGTTATAAAACAAAAATCCCATCTTCATCTTTTGTTTTGTGTGTTTTTTAAATTTTCTGATAAATGATTTTGTTTTATTTTATTTTATTTTGTTTGATTTTATTTTTTAATTTTATCTTTATTGTTCAAAGTATTACAGATGTTCCTCTTTTTACGCCTTCTACCCCCTCCCTCTAACCACTCCCCCAGGCCTTCACTCACTGCTCTCCATCTATTGTTGACCACACCATCCTAAGTATCATACTAAGCCTTTTAAGCACAAGTCCCTTAACAATCCTAAAATGGAAATACTTTTATCCCTGATCTACAAATATGGAAACTGAGCTACCAAGGTTAAGTAACTTGCTTAAGGGCAGACAGATAATAGTAAATGGCACAATGATATTGAAATCTAATTCTGCTTGATTCTAAACTCTATCATTGTTTACAGTCCATGCTGGAATCAGAGATGGTATCTTTCATTGTTATCCTAATAGAGCTGGTTAAATTATTTGATTAATCAGAAAATAAGTAGTTTATGGATTAGTGACTCTAGATTTTTTTTTACATGAGTTTGTCTCATTCAAAAAGTAGAAGGAGCAAAAGAGGATATGAATTGATAATAGATTTTACTACTTTTAAAAATATATGTTTTTATTGATTTTTAGAGAGAGAGAGGAAGGGAGAGGGATAGATAGAAACATCATGAGATGAGACACATCATCATTCAGCTGCCTCCTGCACACCCCCTACTGGGCATAGAGTCTGCATCCCTGACGCGTGCTCTGACAGGGAATCAACCCATGACCTCTTGCTTCCTAGTTCAAGACTCAACTGCTGACCCATACTGGCTGGGCAGATTTCACTACTTTTAAAAGCAGTTATAGGAAAACACAAAAAAGACTTTGATATGTAAAATGAAATAAAATCTTCAAATTATCCAGAGGGACGCTATTGCTTTTGGTTAAGTGTAAGTAAAAATGGAATGTGCTATAAGAGCTATAGCATAAAAGAAATAATAATAAAATGAAGTTCTTAAGAGACTGTGATGATTTGAATGATTTTATACTGAGCTCCTGCCTAGTAGATGTGTGAGAGTTGTATTTGGAAATACATAATGGTGCTCCCTGTACTTATTTCTGGTTTGCAGAATGAAGAATTAATAAGAAAATGTTGCCATCAGCAGTTGGCAGATGCCATAGCTGTAGTCCGAGGAATGTACAAGGTAGGTCTTAGGGTGGTCCTGGGCAAGACCAGCTTTATATCTTGGAAGTGCATATAGTGGGGCTCACTTTGACTTCCCAGTCTGAGTTATGTCAATGTAAAATAGTTCAAACCTGTAGATAGTTTTTATAAGGGTTTATTTGAGCAAAACTGATGACATATGACAGGGAAGTAAGATCTCAAATGCTCTGCAGCATAACAGTTTTGCAACTTCATTGCATTTATTGGAGGTGAGAAAAAGCAAGGTGGGGATTGGATTGCAGGATAGTTAACGAGATTATGTGCTTTCTTGAGGATGATTAAAGTTTACTTCAAAGCTGTGTTAACCTAAATGCACAGAAACAATGGACAGAGCTGGCTTAAGTTATAAAAGCCTGGGGCATGACTACCCGCTATGACCTGCCCAGTTAGGAATTTATGATTAGATCACCCTGTGAGGTTACTTTCCGTGAAACCCCTTTTGTTGTCCAGTTTTTACCTTTGAAGATCTGTTGTCTCAATTTTCAGGCTCCTAAAGAGGATTAGGCGTAAGATTGTTCATGTTCACATTAAATTTAACAAAACAACACTTTATGGTAGCAGGTAAAACTTTTCAGAGACTGGAGAATTCCAATCTGTTATCCAAAGTGCCTGGACAGGTGATGAGTAATCCTGATTGCGTGGTGAGCACGCAGCTGGACAGAAGCAGGTCAGATGGTCTTAAGAGAGAGTTCATTGGTCCATAGTAAATCCCAGTGAAGAATCTCTGACTCTTGATGGAGTAACTCTTCTAATGACACGGACACTGTCTGCCAGACTAGTGCTTCACTCCCCTACGTAATGGAAAAATCATAATTTTCAATGATCGCTTTTTAGGTTTAGTAAAGACCTTGTACCTCTTATGGTAGTTATTAATCTTTTCTTTCATTTCAATAGGATTCTATAAAGAAACATTTATTTACAGCAAATTGTGCATTTCTCATAGCACAACACATTTGTGTTTAATTATATAATTGCTTGTTATAAATCTCTGTTCTGTGCCAGACTGTAAGCCTTATGAGGGCCAGATGTGGTCTGTCTTACTCACTGCTGTGCCCTGCCTCTTAGCAGTGTGCCTGGTATGTAATTAGCAATCAGCTCGAAATGGCAGATAGGCCTTAATTGCCCAATTTGCCCTCTGGTCTCATACTCTTACGGAACTTCCATATGTACATATGTAATAAACCTGGCTATTTTCTCTTAGATAACTTAAGAAGAATTGCAAAATGAATGCCTATATTTGTGGCAGATGCTCGTCACTCAACAGTCATTTTCCCTCCTCCATTTATTTATTTATTTATTTATTTAGTTAGTTAGTTAGTTAGTTAAATCTTTATTGTTGAAAATAATACATATTCCCCCCCCTTTTCCCCCATTGATCCCTACCCCCACCCCACACCCACCCCCCTCCCAGCCTTCACCACTCTATTGTCTGTGTCCCTGGGTTATGCATATATGCATATAAGTCCTCTGGTTGATCACCTTTATCCCCCCTCCCCTCCTTCCCCTCCCTTCCCTTTGAGATTCTGCACTCTGAATCTCCTTTTTTTTTTTTTAATTAGCAGAAGCCCTTCTTACTGTACAAGACAAAATGCTAGATCATTTCTTTCTCATCTTCCTTTTCAGCTATGGTACTCTCATGGGCAAAGTCAGTTGTCCGTGGACCTGAAGGTAAGTTGGCTGTGACATTTGGGAGCAGGTTGTTTTCTCTCATTAAAGGAGACTCGTGGGAGGAAATACCCTTCTTTTTCTTTGTGTGACCTTGTTACATCTCCTTCTGATGCTTGGAATTGGTGCAGCCAACCTAAAACCAAGGACTGAGACATTCACACCAACAAGCAATTTCTTAAATACATTTGTGGAATAGATGACTTCTTTGGATGTGCTAAGGATGGCAGAGGGGAAGACTGCTCTGTCAACATTCTCTGAGTCTATGCCCAATTGTGTTTCCAAAGACGGCCTTGACACTACCTTCCCGCACCTGCTCTTCTGCAATGCTACCTGGCTCCTCCCCCACCAGAGGTGGAGCATAACTCCCCTCCCCAGAATCCCGCTGGACCCAGTGACTTGTCCTAAGCACAGAACGTGGAGGAAGAGATGCTGCACGACTTGGGAGGCCAGGTTGCAAGAAGCCTTGCAAATGCATTAGTATACCTTTGGAATGTTTGCTCTCTGGGTTCCCCTTTCTGATTCCAGCCGCCATGGTGTGAGAATCTCTAGCTATTTTGAGGGTCTGCATGGGGGTGCTGGGTGCACAGGCCCAGCTGAGTCCAGCCTTTAAGTCATCCAGTCTCCAACCATTCATTTTTCCCATCCAGACATTATGAAGCAGAGAGAAGCCATCTGCAGTGCCTGCCCTAATCCCCTGACCCACAGTGTTCATGAACATAATAAATAGTTGTTTAAGCTGATAGGTTTGGGGAGATATGTTATGCAGCAATAAATAGATAGTTGGAACAGTATCCTTACATTCACACCAACAAGCAGTGTCTTAAGTACATTTGTTGGATAGATTATTCTCTAATGGTTCTGGCAGAACAGTTACAGCATTGTGGTTGACAGCATGATGTAAGTTTTAGAAAAAGGACTCCGGAGTCAGACCACGTGGGTTCAAATCCTGACCCTGCACTTAATTGCTATGTGACCTCAGGCAAAGTATTGACTCTCTCTGCCTCAGTTTCCTTATCTGTCAAATGAGGATCACAAAAGTACCTGCCTGATAGGCCTGTTCTGAGGATGAAATGAATTGATCTTTGTGGAGCACTTAAAGAGTGCCTGGCACATGATATTCCATTATTAGCGTTTGTTAAATAAACACTTTCACATATTCATAGCACTCCTTGGTGTTGGTATCTTTTTCTGTCCCTTAATTATTCTATCTTAGTTTTTAAGTGTGTAGCTTTCTGTCTCTTGACTGCAGATTTCAGATATGATAAAGTGCCCTTAAGACATCTGTCATTATCAAATTTTATTATCGAACCTTATGATATTGGCACTTTGGGAGCCAAAAAGGTCAAATGTCAGCAATTTCATAAAAGTGATGACAGCAAGCATACTTACTTTATATCTACTCTTACAGGGAATGAATACAGTGTTTCAACATTATGCATAATACTTGCTGTAGATACTCTCTGGCTATTTCTTTTGCTAAGAGACTTTTAAAGAAAATCATGACTACATTTCCATTTTATGAAATGTGAGTTTTATGCAGCTACTAAGAGGCCATATGATTTTTTTCTTAACCTATTTATAATTAATAATGTGGTGAAATGAATTGATTTTTTAATGTTAAATCAACCTTTCTTGGTATAAGCCCAACTTAGTCATAATATGCCTTTTTTTTTTTTATTAATTTTTAAAATTGATTTTAGAGAGAGAAAAAAAGGGAGAGGGAGAAAGAGAGAGAAACATCAGTTTGGTGTTCCACTTATTTATGCATTCATTGGTTGATAATTGTATGTGCCCTGACTCCAAAACTTTAGTGTATGGGGACAATGCTGACAATGCTCTAACCAACTGAGCTACCTGGCCAGGGCTTTACACACACACACACACACACACACACTTTGAGTTTAATGTGTTAATATTTTGCTTAGGATATTTTAAATCTACATTTATTAGTGAGGTCACCGCACTTTCCCCCCCATTCTTTATTGGGTTTGTTGTCAGGGTTCAGGCAGCTTCACAAAATGAGTTGGGAATGTTATGCCCATTTTGTTACTTGGGAGCATTTGTGTAAGATTAGAAATTTTTCTGCCAGAGGAGCCAGCTGGGCCTGGAGAGATTTATTGATTGACATAGTTTGGACTTATTCAATTTCCTTAAAGGTTATAAGACTATTTGGGTTTTCTATTCCTTTTGATTTAGATATACTGAGACATTTGTCCAGGGCCTTGTCTGTTTCATTTAAACTCAAAGATTTGTTGGAATAAAGGCTTAATAATATATGCCTTGTTGCTGTCCTATGTTTAAAACCCACTCCATATTTTTTATTACTATTTTATTCATTTTCACTGACTTTTTAAATATCTCTTATGCTTTTTATGACTAGGAATTCTATTTGACTCTCTATGCTTGGTTGTTTAATTTTTGTTTTTATGGCTCTTATTCTTTGCTCATAATTTCAGTGTGGTTATTTCTAATAACATTTTTAAATATTTTTGATTTATATTCTGTGTTTCACAATTTCCATAACTTCCATCTTTGAGGGTCTGATAATGCTGGCTGTCATTCATGATATGTATTTTACTTTTGGGTTTCATGATTTTTGTGAACTCATATTTTTGTGGGAATTTCTTGGAGGCCTGGAATAGAAGTGAGTTATAGTTTAGAGAATATTTATATTTGCCTTTGTGAGACTCCTGAATCTGTAACCGTTTTAAGCTAATCCTCAACCTGAGGTATTTTAAACCACCCAGAGGAATGAAATTGGGCTGCAAAACTGTGTGGGCCATCTTATGCTTATAAAACTCAAGAGATTTTTCCTTCCCTATATTTGGACCCAGGTTTCCAACAGAGGCAATTTCACTTTCAGTGGAGTAGGAGGGGTACAGCATCCAAGGTGGTTACTTCTAGTTTGTTTTTGTATCGAAAGGGTGGCCCTTAGGTGTCTCAGTCTTACTTAGAACTGACATGCTGAGGAGGACCTGAGTAATTTTTCTTCTCTGTGCCTGTAAAGAGGTGTAAACTAAAGTTGAAATTTACTTGGTTTAGTGATGCTCGAAGGCCAGTTTCTGTCAATGTTCATACTTCCCTGGATTTCTACATCCACTTAATTTTGGCCTTAGCATCCCTTACTTTGTCAGCTTCTAGGCGCATTTTACTTATCTTACCCAGAATTTTTGTTGTTTACAGTGGGAGGGTAAATCAGAGTTCCATGAATTTTTGAACATGCTTTCGTAGTCTTTTGTCTTCAACAATTTCTGAAATACTGATATACTTCTAATGTGAATCTAATATTCTAAAAATGTGGCTAAGTGACTTTGGTTCTTTATATATACTTTTTGTACTTATAGGAGTAGAAAGTCCTAAAATGATTTCAGTGCTTTATAGTCATCAGTTTTTCATACTAATATGTGCTGGTTAAGTATGCTTAGCCAACAGTATACTAGTTGTGGTTAGTTGGTTTATCTACTTTAAGAATTGGTTTAATGACACAAAAGTGATTATTTGAATCCTTGCTTTGGCTTTTTAGCATGACCTCAGACAACCTCCCTAATCCTGGCCACCCAGTTTGTTAATTAAGGCTTAGTCATAAGAAAGAACAGAAGAGTATTGAAAAAAAAAAACAAAGTGTACACTTTTGGTTAAGATGTAACTTTGGGGTGCAGGCTAGAAGAGGTCAATGGGGAAAAACAGGGACATCTGTAATACTTTCAACAATAAAGGTAAGTTTAAAAAAAAAAAGATGTAATTTTTGATTGCGTGAATAACTCTCTGCTGCCCCCTAGAGTCCTGTTAAGGATATAGGTACTCGTACTTTTTCAGCTATGGAGCAATCCATTTAACTTTAAAAGCAATTTCTTGTGTGGTATTATAATATTTACATTTACAGGTAAAAGAAAATATTTTTCTAGAAATGTATCAATTTAGATTTAAATAAGATAACAGAAAATATTCTAGGTATTTCAAACAAGGATTTAATAAAGGGATTTAAGAGCTTATAAAAATCTCTTGGAAAGACGGGAAGAGTAAAAGTCAGGGAGAATGTTGCTAGCTTTCAAATTAATAACCAATTTTCCAACATCATTCAGTGAATATCTTTTCCTTTTTTATTGAGTTATGATGTTTTTCTCATGTTTAAAGGTAAGTCGAGTTGGGCATATTAAAATTTTTAAGAGTTTACTGAGCACAAAGCTATTTGAATCTGGCAATGCCCAGGGGAAGTGGCCAGGAGTGCTCCACAAATAGGAGCTATGGGAAGGACTTACTAGAGAAAAGGTGGGAGCAAAGCAAGGGAACTTTGACTGGCAGGAGCTTGAGTGATTACCTTATTTGGGAAAGCCTAGGTGCCTGTTTGTGATTGGTTGCCCTTAGTTTTTCATTTCTTAACTTTAAGGCCTTTACTGGCTTTGGCTTGGTTAGGCTGCTAAGGTATTAGAACCACCGCAGTCTAACGGCCTTCTCATCATATATCAACAATAAGGTTTATCTCAAGGCTACGTGTGCTATTCTGTTGCTCTCTGTTAACATGATCTATGCAGTGTTGTGACCCTCCATTGCATTTTTGTATTTAATATTTTTAGAATTATAATATGTTTTGTTTTAGAATTATAACATTTTAATATCAAATAAGTTTAGGTCTTTTTTCATTATGTCTCTCAAAAATATCTTTGCTTTTTAAAAAAAATATATTTTTTTATTGATTTCAGAGAGGAAGGGAAAAGGAGGATCATTGATTGGCAGCCTCCTGCATGCCTCCTACTGCAAATTGAGCCCACAACCTGGGCATGTTCTCTGACCAGGAATCAAATTGTGACCTCCTGGTTCATAGGTCGAAACTCAGCCACTGAGCCACACCAGCTGGGCATATCTTTGCTTTTTTATTCTTCCAGATAAACTTTATTTTTTTACTTTCACTTAAAATATCCCTCCCTTGGAATCTTAAATATATATATTTATTGACTTTTAGAGAGAGAGGAAGGCAAATGATGAATATTTGGCGAGCTGAA